TGATTGTGAAACACAGTAGACTTTAATAATATGCATTTATGGTGTAATTGCTACATTTTCGTGTCAATCCATGTTCATATTTACTGAGAACAATGCGCTGTTACTTTAATTTAGCGATTGCAGCGGAGCAATAGACTCGGTGCGGAAACGATCTCTGCACTGCTGCAGATGCGCTGCCGGACCACAACCGTGTGTAGTGACCGCTTTAATCCGTTAACATGAGCGTGGAAAATGCGCTGAATGGTTAAACACTGGCAAGAATGAAAAAGTAATGCAATTTATAAACTTTAGTGACGATGTGACACTTCCTCGATTGTGCAAGTGACAATTCCTGTGTCAACTGTGCAGCTCGCTTATAGACAGACGCGATGTGTGGTGATTTGAAGCCATTTGCGTATTTTGAGAGAGAGAGAGAGGGCGCGGCGATTCACTCATGCTGTTTGTGAAGTTACGTCTCACACAAGGTTTTCAAATGACTTTATAAGTTATTTAATGAAGAAATATAGCATTATAATTATTTAACCCGCGTCGGACAGAGACTGAGACGGTGCAGCTGCATGCCATGCCAAACCTCTCATCAGCATGAGATAGTTTTTTTGAGATCGGCCTTTATCGGCCGATAGTGATTGGTAGCCGATCAATTGGAGCACCCCTAGTTAAAGAGAGAGTTCACCCAAAAATGTAAATTAAGAGTCATTAATTACTCACCCTCATGCTGTTCCAAACCTGTAAGACCTTCGTTCATCTTCTGAACACAAATTTAAGATATTTTTGATGAAATCCGAGAGCTTTCTGACCCCGCATAAACAGCATCGCAACTGAAATGTTCCCAGGCCCAGAAAGGTAGTAAGGACATTGGTAAAATAGTCCATGTGACATTAGTGGTAACCGTAATTAACGAAGCTATGAGAATACTTTTTGTATAAAAGAAAAGAAAAATAATGACTTTATTCATCAGTTCTTCTCCCCTGAGTTACTGTCTTCTGCCATTTTGGATAGAACCATGATGCGTTGTTTGTTGTGTTGTTTACATACAGTGTAAAGCACGCGCATGCGTCGTGGTACTCTCCAAAATGGTGGCAGACGGATAGAATAAAATCTATATTTTTGTTTCTTTGTGCACAAAAAGTATTCTCGTAACTTCGTAAAATTCCAATTGAACCACTGATGTCATGAACTGTTTTACCTATGTCCTTACTACGTTTCTGGGCTTGGGAACATTTCAGTTGCATTGATGTCTATGCAGGGTCGGAAAACTCTCGGATTTCATCAAAAATCTTATTTGTGTTTCGAAGATGAACAAAGGTTTTACGGGTTTGGAACCACATGAGGTAATTAATGAGTAGGCCTAATTAATGACAGAATTGGCATTTTTGGGTGAACTATCCCTTCAATACCTCATGACATTTTTTGTGTCATTAAACTATAACCTTTTTTGGAAATGGTATATATATATTTTCAAAGCCGTATGAAACCAACATGAATACAGAGAGAAGATTTTGAAGAATTTGGTTTTAAGACAAATTATTCCATTTCCTTATTGCAGACACTCTTATATTTCAGTGACCCGCAAAACATTTGAATCTGACACACACATCTGTCAGGCTCCAAGCTGAATTTTATAAATGATACAAAATTTCCTTGGTTCTTAAATGCATTCAAACTGTTAGAAGTACTCCGATCATGTACACAAATCATCACGTTCTGCTGTTTTTCCTGCCCAGTGTGAAACTCTTTGGCCTAAAATGTGTGGAATTTTAGGGGCCAATCTTTGGAAGTTATTTTAAGGCAAAACAGCTGTTTCAACCTCAAATGTGCTGAAGATTCTAGGTCTGAATCAGCAGGCCAGTGTTGCTTAAAATGTATAGTTGTTGGAAAGAGACTCATGTTAGTTTGCTTTTGGAAAGTTATATGTTCTGTACGGGGGTGGTGTAAAAATAATCATTGGTATATTGTTATTGTCAGAATTTCATTATCAATACATCGCTAAAATCTGGTTTCTTAAAGCAAAACCAATTGAGAACCAATGACTGCTAATTTTTATTTATTTGTCATCCACCATGCCATAATTTCACAGGTCCTTTCTCTTCAGCAAGGACGGGAACCCCAACAAACGTAACATGCACAATGAGACCACACTGCATGTGTTATGCATGGGGCCAAATATCTTGCTATCCGAAGGGGCGCTGCAGCCGCGACTAGCCCGTCCCTATGAAGATGAACGCAGACGGGCTGAGTGCCTCCAGATGATCCTAAAGTGGACCGGCGCCAAACTGGACCGGGGTGAATATGAGAGTGCTGACGTCAGTGCCACCGATAACAAGAAGAACACACCACTACACTACGCTGCTGCCTCAGGGATGAAGACGTGTGTGGAGGTACATGTAGCATGATTATCAAACACTGTCGATACATACAGACACAGTTGGTGTGTCCAAAATCATTCTGATTCACTCTTTCCATATAGTGAACTCAATATAGTGAATAGGAAAATATTTTTGGACACATCACCTGACTACACCAGAATAGGTGCAGCACTAGCAATCTCTGTGCAATGCCAAAACTGTGGAGACATTTTAATCGTTCATGTTAATATCATATTGCACACCCGTATCTCCATTTCATTGGGTTACCTTTTTTGACCACCTGGCTAGTTGGCACAAGGTGATTTGAAATTGAGATCCCTGATCTGGAACATTTGGGAATCTTTGTTTTGGAATAGAAATGATTAAACAGTTTTTATTCTAAAATGTGTTTATTGGGTAACACTTTATAATAAGGGTTCAATAAGGTTAACATGAGTTAATACATTATACATAAATGCATTGAACAGCATGCTTTTCTTTTAATTATTTTATAGGTAATGTTAAATAATAAATATACTATTGTTCATTGTTAGTTCATGTTCATAATTAGTTCATGTTCATAATATAAAATAATTTATACATCTTGAAAAGTTCAAATGTATTCAGGTATATACAAATAAAAAAGGCAATTTAGATCAAAATTAGATGAATAAATGCTGTAACGTTTTTTATTAATTGTTTCATGTTGATTGTTGCATTAATTGATGTTAACATATAGAACTTTATTGTAAAATATAACTGATTTATGTTTTGAAACTTCCTGGAATTGATCTTCAATACTTTACCTGAACTCAAACACACAAAAAATTCTTCCACATCTACATTTCACAAAAAAATGTGGCAAATATTGCTATTTATGTATAATAGCGTATGTTCCAAAAGGTACTGTATGCTATCTTAGTTCAGTTAAACCTTATTTGGATCCTCATGTCATGACCTTGTTAATCTATTGATCTTTCCTCTGTATATTAACAGTATTTCCCTCTTCCTGCAGTTTCTGGTGAAGCGTGGTGCAGACCTGTTTGCAGAGAATGAAAACAAGGAGACCCCATGTGACTGTGCAGAAAGGCAGCACCATAAGGAGCTTGCACTCAGTCTGGAGTCTCAGATGGTCTTCTCTACTGACCCCCATGCAGAGGATATTGAGGCAGAGTATGCAGCCTTAGACCGCAGGGAGGTGAGCTCTCCAAATAAACTCTGGAGTTTCTTGTGACATTAACATTTGCCTCAAGCCCTGGTGTCCAGATGTGTCAGATTTGAATCTGAATTTTTTAGACCAGTAAAAATAGAAGAGTTTGATGCAGATGTCTGAATACTGATTTCGCTCTTGATTCGATGTTTAACACGTAACCGTGTTACTGTGTTTCAGTTTTATGAAGGTTTGCGAGTGCAGGACCTCAGGAGACTGAAGGACATGTTGATAGTTGAGACGGCAGATATGTTGCAAGCTCCTCTCTTCACCGCAGAGGCTCTTCTTCGGGCACATGGTACGATTGATATTATATTCACTGCTGTTGGCTGGCCCAAATTGAATTTTGGTCAAATTTGTTGAGAGTTGGTAGCTGAAAACTCGGTTTGGTTTGCTGGTAACACTTTAGTATAGGGACCAATTTTCATTAACTAGTTGCTTATTAGCGTGCCTATTATAACATATTGGCTGTTTATTAGTAGTTATAAAGCACATATTCTGCATGACCATATTCTACATCCCTAATCCTACCCAATACCTAACCTTAACAACTACCTTACTAAATATTAATAAGCAGCAAATTAGTAGTTTATTGAGGCAAAAGTCCTAGTTATTGGTTTGTTAATAGCGAGAATTGGACCTTAAAATAAAGTGTGACCGACTTGCTTGTTCTGGTTTGGTTTTGTTTGGTTTATTCTGTTCTGTTTTTTTGTTTTTTTTTGACAGCCAGTGACCATCATGCATTTGCATTTGGTGGAAAAGATCAGCTTTGACATTTTGGTTACACTTTAGAATAGGGTTGGGTATCGTATATATTTTTTTTTACGATACCGGTGCCAAATCGATACTTAAAAATAAATAAATGCCCAAAATAGGATGGATTGGCCATTGTTGAGCGCTATAAACACATTTAAAGGGGTCATATGATGCGATTTACATTTTTTCTTTCTCTTTGGAGTGTTACAAGCTCTTGGTGCGTAAAGAAGATCTGTAAAGTTGCAAAGACTAAAGTCTCAAATCCAAAGAGATATTCTTTATAAAAGTTAAGAGTCAGCCACGCCTACCTAAAACGTCTCGTTCTAACACGCCCCCACATATCTACGTCACTATGTGGGAAGATTTGCATAACGCCGCCCAAATGTTCACGCAAAGAAAGAAGGCGTAACTTTTATTCTCGCTGTAGTATTGTTGACGCTGCAGCCATGTCGTGAAGGCGCTGTGTGCTTCGTTGTGAAAGCGAAACTACTTTGTTTGGTCTTCCAAAAGAGGACGATATCCGCTTCGTCTTGCCTGTAGCGGATCTGTTCTGGTCGCTGAGGGAATACATCAACTTCGCACCATGGACAAAGCGGAGTCCATCCCGGGGTCGTCATATGTGGTTTGCCGCTCATTCGTCGCATCCGCCGGGCGCGCCGTTCTCGACCCCGCCGCCTCAGCTCACTCTATCCCGGCCTCAGCGCACGCTAAGCCAGGGCTTCGGCTCACGCTAGCCCGGCCTCAGCTCACTCTATCCCGGCCTCAGCGCACGCTAAGCCAGGGCTTCGGCTCACGCTAGCCCGGCCTCAGCTCACTCTATCCCGGCCTCAGCGCACGCTAAGCTGGGGCTTCCCCTCACGCTAGGCCGCTAGGCCTCACATTTCCATCTCACGCTTGAGGTATTCGGCCAATCACAACGCATTGGATAGCTGGCCAATCACAGCACACCTCGCTTTTTCAGACCGATAAGCTTTGTAAAAAAAATTTAAAAGGCGGGGCACAGAGGAGAAACAATAATGTACAGTATGTGGAATTTTTTTTTTTTTTTTTTTACTTTAAACCACATAAACACATTTCATTACACCAAATACACAAAATAATGTTCTTTTTAGCAGCATCATATGACCCCTTTAATGTCTGTTTTATTCATACTGGACGCCAGAGGGTGCCCTCGCGCAGAAACTCCACATGTGCATCACAGAAGGAATAGAACTCAGGAAATCCCTATACTCTTTGCTAATATGAACAAAGGCCATTGCTATCGCTGTAACTGAGTAAACGGAAGATATAAATGTTTTGAATGATAAAACAAAGACAATAAACACTCGACTGTGACAATGTATAGTTTATCTGTGTTATTCAAGCCATCTCTGGTTTAGCTTTAGGCATTTTAATTTAAGAATGTTTAGCTTAGCTAGCTAACGGTATCTGCCTGCTGCCATCAGAGCAAGTCTTCTCCTCAGATGCTTTAATTTCCCGAGTTGTGCTATTAAGTCAGAATGTGAAAACAACATGGACACTCGCGTTACTACAAAGATGTGTTGGATTTGTATTATTGGAGCTTTCCGACTTTTTCCTGAATTTTCTCAGTTGAGAAATTATTTTTCTCGTGCGGTGATCCTTACGTCCGTTTCGGAGAACAAATATTTCAATCGATCGCTCAAGCATTTAAAGGCACAATATGTACGTTTTCACTGCTAGAGGGTTCAAAATAAACAAATAGACAAAGGCGTAGTTTGATGATGCCGTGACTGAGTGTGGAATCATGGGAGTTGTCGTCTTCATCCCCACAGTCGATGCAATCTGACGGGACTCGGGCAGAAATCAAGTTCATGGATGAGCTAATGATTTATTAACGTAGTAGAATGAAGCAGGGTGAGGCTGAAAGCCATTGAAGAGAAACGAGGCCGCTGAACGAGCGTGACACACGGCTCGAAAGCAGCGGAGCTTTTATTATGCCACAGTCGACCGCTTCCGCTCCTTCCGGTCGTGCGTATGTGGAAAAAAAAGCAGAGCTGTTTTATCATACTAGATACATTTGAAAGTTCTGTTATTATGCTACTCTGTGAGGTCGTCACCTGTCTAATAAAACTCATAACATATTTAAAGTGTCTTTGGTGTTTCCATGTTTTCTACAAAACAAAACCGGAAATCGAGGGTGTATCACATCATTGGCAGGTGACACAATGACACTATAGACACGGTCTGTCACTAGTTAAAATTGCTTATTTCTCTGGATTTAAAATTTTTTAGAAACATTTGGGATAATGTAAGTACACAAGTCAGCAAAATATATAACACCGTTCTAGTGGTTTTTGGATATTTTAATAAACAAATCTTACATATTGTGCCTTTAAGTGGCACCGAAATCTGCGTTCTGATTCGGTTCTAGTACATACCGGTTACGGGTACATACCGGTTGGGTTTCGGTACCCAACCCTACTTTACTATTAACAAGTTGTTTATTAGCATGCATATTACTAGCATATTGGCTGTTTATTAGTACTTAAAAAGCACATATTAAAGCCTTATTCTACATGACCATATCCCTTAACCTGACCACATGCCTAAACTTAACTACTACAACAACTACCTTACTTGCTGTTAATTAGCTTTAAATTAATAGATTTATTGATGGAAAACCTCAGTTAATTGTGAATGTGTTCCCTTATCTAAGTATTATGACATTTTTTACAGATGAAATGTGTGGGGAAAAAAACTCTGTATTGTGGCCCCAATTGAACTAAATTAAATACTGTATTATTTTTCAAATACTTTACATTATTGTAAGTCCTCTATGCCCCGCCTCTCTCAAACGCTTCGTTTTCTACAAAGTCCCTCCTTCCGACAAGCGCAGTCTGCTCTGATTGGCCAGCTGACCCAGTGCATTGCGATTGGTCGAACACCGCAAGCACTTGTTGGAAATGTAACGCCCCTTACCATAATCGCAGCTTCAGCTTTCAAAAATGCAAAGACAGAGCCCAAAAGGGGAACAGAGTCTCGTGACAGACACAGTGATGAATATGTGTTTGCAGTACACAAGCCACTGTTAAGACAGCTGACTCCACTGTGATGTGTCTCGCTCTCGCTCTCGCTCTCGCTCTCGCGCTCTCTCGCTCGCGCACACACACACACACACAATGCGCAAAACTCCGCATTTGAACAGTCAATAGCAAATACTTAAACTAATAACAAAACTGCTGATTCAGCTGATTCAGAAGCGCCAGATTGTCATAGCAAAGTCAGAATTACCCCCTCTCCTAGGTTCACGAAACGGTCGTCCATAAAATGCATTGCTGTTCTGTTGTAAGTAATCTTAAAGATTCCTAAATGCATCTACTTTCGGAAGGCCAAATAAAGTGCTTTTGCTTTTGCCTAGAAACACACAGCGTCTCCCTGACATGCTGCTTCAACACTAACTGCGGTTACTGAACCCCCGCCTTCTTTCTTTGCGTGCACATTTGGGTGGCATTATGCAAATATTTCCACATAGTGAGGTAGATATGTGGGGACGTGTTAGTACGAGCCATTTTAGGGGGGGTGTGGCAGAGTCTTAACTTTGATAAAGAATATCTCTTTGGGTTTGAGACTTTAGTCTTTGCAACTTCAGGGATCTTATCTATGCACAATCAGCTTGTAACACTCCAAAGAGAAAGGAAAACTTGAAATCGCATCATATGACCCCTTTAATAATCTCCAATTATGTGAGCAGCCTGTCTAGCAGGACTTGTTCCAGATGACTAGAGCCCATGAGAGAAAAGGGCAGAGCTCTGATTCATGTGCGCTGCTATTATTGCCACGGCCTCTCTGGAGACCGCCAGCCGAGGCTCAAATATGCAGTTTCACCTTCTTTAATCTTAAACCCAAATTCACAGTCTTGACTCCTGAAACTACGATGGTAAAGCACAAACAGTTGGGCTAGCAGGTGAAATGCACTTTGAGGATTTTCATTTGGGAAAATCTGGCCTCTTTCTTTGGAAGCAAGTTTTATTTGGTTGTATTTGTTTGTGTTTTGCCTTGGACTTTAGACTGTTATCTTGCTTTCAGCGTCTGGAATCTGTCTCCAGGATTTCCTCTGGGAAGTGACATTTCTTATCTTTTCTTACCCCAGCACAATTCATTGATGTTAACCAATATGTTCATTCAAAGATATCAAAGTATATGTCCTTTTTATATGTCGTCACCATCTCTTGAACTAGAGGAAGAGGAAACTGGAGCCTAAAAAAGAAGTGAATATCTTTGCACCTTTTAAGTAATGAATGTCTTAACATGCATTTTAATGGTTACTCATTATTGCTAAAAGCATACTTCACTTCCTTTTTTTCCTCCCATGTGGGAGTATACCAGCCATGACTGGCAGGTTTCATATAAAGACAAACAAGTGCTCTCATATCATGTGGGAAAACAACCTACTGAACATCTGGGTAGGTTTTTCAGCCCAGAAGAACAGCCTTGTTTAAACTCTTGAATCAGCTACAAATTCCACTGACTCTTCATTTATTTATTTTTTTTTGCCATGCACACTGACCTAAGTTTCCCTTTGAAATTTAGACTGGGACAGAGAGAAACTCCTGGAAGCTTGGATGTCTAATGCTGAAAACTGCTGTCAGCGCTCAGGCGTTCAGATGCCAACTCCCCCGCCCAGAGGCTACAACACCTGGGACACCCTGCCCTCGCCCCGTACGCCTCGCACCACTCGCTCATCCATCACCTCCCCGGACGAGATCAGCCTGACCCCTGCTGATGATGATTGCTCCTTGGTGAGGGATCAGATTTGGTCCTCTATTAGTATTTGTACAGCCTCTTCTGTGGAGAATCATGTACAATAGTTAGTCTTAATTTAATAAAATATAATACTTAAGTGATAAATTTGGGTGGTGTAGCCATGGGGTTTGATCTGGGCTACTGATAGGTTGTAGGTTCAAATCTCATAAACGGGATCAGTGAATTACAACCAGTGTGTCCCTGAAAATACATTTACCTCTACTACTACCTCTTAAATAGTGTTGTATGAAGGATACCAATCATAAATGTTTCTGTTCAAAATCTTGTTACACAGTGCATATCTATAAATCCATATTCATACCAAGGTTGAACTTTCACCTACAGAGAAACCTAAATATTTTTGTAGCTGAAAATGTTGCTCTAACAACATTTTCTCCATATTTTGCATTTGCAAAAAGTTTTGTTTTTCTTAAATAAAAACAAGGGCTTTAATAATATGAAAATTAAAATAAAAGTAGCGGATATTAGAAAACACTCAAAACCATAATTTTTTTTTTAAAGAATTGGGTTCAACAGTTTGTTTTGTTTATAGTAAAATATATTTGCATGTATAATAAACCTGAAAAAAGTAAATTTCTAAAACATTGTTCTTTATTCACTTACTGCTTTACTTCACAGATTCTCTATCCTCAAAATGAATCCAAACGCACAGGAAAATACAAACACTAATAAGTCAAATCGGCAATAATTCTATGATAGATTTTTTTAACCCATGTTGGGCTTCTAAGTTCCAATGATTAAATTCAGCCATACAAATATCTCAAATCAATTTATAAATTCAGATCCAAGTATCATTAGTTTTATTGCTGCATCCTGTGCTTCTGACAGATCTGGGTTATTGCGTCATATTTGGGTTGTATGGTTATGAAAAACCTGGAAAAGACATGTAACTTTAAAACAGCAATTTCCAGCTCTGGTAAAGTTTTGGAAAAATAAATAATCCCATAAATCTTTAGAAAAGGCATGGAAATTTATTTCACACATCTCTGTGTAATAGAATTATGCTTCATCAGGTCCCGAATTTCAGTGTGGGATTGCGCATATATCGCATAGTTCGCATAGTTATACTCATTCCCGCAGATTTCGATTTTAAAATGAGGAAAATTCCTGCACACCTTTATTCAACATGTAGGTTAGATGAGTGTAAAAATATACACATCGTTCAGATTACATCAGTCATTTGAAAACCATGTGAGGGATTCAGCTGTACAGCGTCTTCACTCTTTCACTCTCTCAAAGTTGCTTCACATCGGCTCATCTCGTCTGCACTACAAGAGCTGCTGCCCACCGCGATACAAAACTTTCACTCGCGTTTCGGGACAGTTGACAGAACTGTCACTTGCCTAATAGCATCATTGTTGCATTGTCACAAAGATGTATCATTTGCATCTTTTAAAGTCTTTTTAAGCCATTCAGTACTCGTGTGCTCCAAAGGCGGTTTTCTGTGCACTCAGTTAGGCCTGGGCGATAAAACGGTATCAATATTTATCGACGGTACACCTTCTTCGATATCGATAGAAAAAAATGATCGATATAGTGCACGATATAGGCACGTGCTATGAGTGACGCAGACAGCACACACAAACACGAACACATGCTGAAATGAGTGCTGTGCCTGCCTGTGATGAGGAGATTGTGAATAAAGAGTTAATATTAGTCGAATTTAAAATAAACATTTGCATTTGAATGTTAGGTGTGCATCAGGGAGCGTCATCAGTGGCGCGCGAGATGCAGTGATGATGTAAGTAATGTTGTTGCATTTGAATGCTTTGTTAGTCTAGCCCACGAGATGCGCCGCTGCTGTGTTATGCATTCAGAATGTTAGAGAAATATAGTAGCTCAATGCGTAGAAGATCTTGAATGGGTTAAAAACGAAACTAAGCCATTCACACAGAACGCATATTCAGTGCATTTTTAGGCAGACAAATATGACTGCTGCACTCACGTCTCACACAAGAGATGTATAGAAAGCCATGCAAAGTTAAAACAGTTTAAACTTTTAGAAAACACGTCACAAATTTGTGGAGGTTTATTCCTTTTCACTGCGTCTCATATGTTTTTAAATGCAGTCTGTGTGAATGGTGCTTCGGCTCTTTGGATTAAGCAATGCATAAATACATGATGCTGTTTTGTTCATAATTGTTTATGCAATTTACGAAATTATATTAGATTTTTATGAGTTAATTTAAATGTGTGCTAGACGAATGCACGTTTTTATAGAGTTACTTGCTAAATGCGCTGCATTATTTTGCTCATTGCGCCCTCCTGTGGCCTCGGGAGACAATTAGACCTATACAATAAAGACCTATTTAATCTGCATATAAAACATTAGAAATGAGATATTTGTTAAATTTTTATTGTGTTTTAAATATTTGTTGTAGGTCTCAATAAATTGTGTTAATTATAAATACAGTGGTTAAAAAAAATGTTCGTATTGCTTTTTGTTTTAAAAAAAGGTTATAAAATTGTCAATAATTATCGATACCGAACGATATGAAACATTATATCGTTGATACATTTTTTAGCTATATCGCCCAGCCCTACGCTCAGTCACATCCAAAGTGTGCGCGTATAAAGCTGCTTCGCAGGTATCATATGAGCTATTTCGCTTTGTTGCGCTTAAGCAACCAGATACACACAAAATGACATCAAAATGGCAGTCTTGGCGAGTTATGTGCTGTGCTGTACGTCATTAATGTTAATCAAACAACAAAAGACAGAAAATCACTCACTGCTCTTGACTGAATAACTTTTGTAACTTTAATCTGTTTTTAATTGACAGTTTATTCGATTTTTGTACCCGAATACTGTAGCTGCTGTTAGACCAGAACAGTTTTCAAAACGAAATTCAGGTCCTGGGTTTAACTGATGATATTGGTTAAATAAAGTACAATATTCAGTGATGTGGTGAAATGTTCTCTGCGTGGAGTAATGTCTGGCGCAGTTGCAGCTTGTACTTATTATTAAAAACAAATAGAAATAGCATTAATAGTCATTTTAGTTATGATACATTTTAATGCATTTTTATTCTTACTGTAAAATAATGCAACATTAGGTCATTAATATTTTCTCAAAAGTCATGGAAAGGTCATGGAAATTTATTGGTAAAAATGTGTATGAACCCTGAGTGCTAAAACGACAGATTAGTTGATTTTGACACAAACTTACCAACATATCACACAGTATCGACTATAATTTCTAAGAGACCTGTTGCTTTGTGAAGCGAGCTTGATTCATGAGCGATTACTCTCAGTATGTCATAGCACAATCAGTTCTTTCATGTATCAATAAAAAGCCTGACCCTGTAGCCTAAAAATGGGTGCATGATAACCACTTTCACAATAAAGCCACAGTCTATGCTAGAAACAAACTTGATAAGCATTAAATATGCACGAGGTGTTCGACTAAATTACTTGGATAGTGTAGTTTGTCATGAGTTGAAATGGCCAAACGTCATTTCATCAAATGTTTATTATTCTGACCCATTTTATACTGCTTCATGTATAGAATGTATTTGATAGCTAGGTATACTATGTAGATATTTTCTCACAAATGTTGTTTTGCTCTCTGCTGTCAGTGCGGCATTTGTATGTGTGCAACCTCCATGTTTGAGGAGCCTGTTGATATTCCATGTGGTCATGAGTTCTGCAGAGGATGCTGGGAAAGGTGAGGGTGTTTTCTTTGGAGACTTTGATTCAGTGCTTTAGTCACATTACAATCACCGTCAGTTCTCACTACTGCTGTAACGATCATGTGTACTTTGCCCTTGGCAGTTTCTTGAATATGAAGATTCAGGAGGGGGAGGCCCACAATATCTTCTGCCCAGCTTATGACTGCTTCCAGCTGGTTCCTGTTGAGGTCATTGAGAGCATTGTGTCCAGAGAGATGGACAAACGTTATCTGCAGTTTGACATCAAGGTATAATTGCATGATTAGATACACATTAGCCTTAATTATGTTCATAGATACTGTTGTAATTGTATTGTTCAGTGATGTGGTGAGTTAAACAGGAAGATAGATTCAGCAGTCAGTTAATATTAGGCCCCAGTTTTGATTCAAACCCTGTGATTCTGCGTTCATAGGTGGTTTTCCAGTCACACAGATCAGTCCTCTCAGTGAAGTTTGTGTTTAGTGTTATTGTGAAGTCAGTCCAGAATGGTGGAGCATTGAAATGGGAGCTGAGAGGGTTGAAGTAACTCTAACAATGGCAGCTCTCATCTAAGAATGTCTGAGAATGACACTTCTCATGCTGTGGAGTCCCAAGCCTTTCATTATGTTGCCATGGTGATGTTGAATCTTCCACAGAGGCGTCTGAGCTCTGTTGTTGCCATTTTTAGGGTCAGAGTGTACTAACGGACTTCTGGAGTTGTTGGTAAAAAATTAACTCAGATCCCAGCATCATAACTAGACGCAGCAAATTAGATGAACCGTTCAGAAATCATTCAGTTCCATCTGATAATGATTAATATTTAAGGCATAATGTACAGCCAGCTGATCATTTTATTGCAGAATAAATCCTGAGAGAAACCTGGACTATACTTTATTCTGCCTATTATTTACATGTACTTACCAAATAAATAGATATATACATGTGGAATTTTTACAAGTTACATTTTTAATGTATACACACCACAAATCAGAAGTTTGGGGTTAATAATAATAGTAATAAAAAATAAGTTATTACTTTTCTTTCAGCAAGAATGAATTTGGTTGATCAGAAGTGATTTAAAAGTTAATTGCAAATGATTTCCATTTCAGGTAAATGCTGTTATTTTTAACTTTATATTCATCAAAGAATCCTGATTTAAAAATGTATCGTTGTTTCCACAGAAATATTAAGCAGCATCATAAGAAATGTTTCTTCAACAATCAGCATATTAGAATGATTTTTGAAGGATCATGTGACACCGAAGACTGGAGTAATGGCTGATGAAAATTCAGCTTTGCCATAACAAGAATAAACTACATTTTATAGATTAAAATATAAACCAGTTGTTATAAATTGTAATAATTTCACAATATTGCTGTTTTACTGTCTTGGTGGGTATAATAGATGTATTTCAAAAACAAACACAAAAAATATTTTCACCACAAACTATTGAATAATAGAGTAGTATAATAAAACAATAAGTTTAAATATTTTTAATGTTAATCAGCAGTTCTATTTTAAGTTACCCCTATCTTGCTTTTTGTATCTCTTGCTGGTTTGTTGTTCTTATAAACAATGATTCTGTTTTCTTGATTTAATTTATTATTTGAAAATTAGCACTAAAGTCCTTCAAGACTATTTTTACTAGAGCCAGAAACCATTAAGTAAAGAATTCGCTATTCTATTCTAATTTTTGTTGTTAAGAAAAAAGAGGACATGAGATAAAAGTTGCATGTTGCCGTCTAAAATTGTCAAATATGCAGTTCAGTAATTTTACATCAGAATCAGAGAATTGCAGAAAGACGCATATTAAAAGAATAAGGCAGTGTTTTGCATATTAAATGCCCCCCTCACTTGCTTTCTCCTCTATTCTTTCTTCATCCTCCTCTTTACTCTTTTTCTTGTTCTTCCTCAGGCATTTGTGGAGAATAATCCTGCCATCCGGTGGTGCCCGCGGGCTGGCTGTGATAGAGCAGTGCGATTGGCCGGACAGGGGCCAGGTGCCAGCACCTCTGACTCTCTCAGTTTCCCTTGCCTCCAGGCACCTGCGGTGGACTGTGGCAAGGGCCATCTTTTCTGCTGGTCAGTGCCAGTCACTGATACAAATCTCTCAAGTCAATATACCATTATACCATTTGTAATTCTGAACGAAATCTCCAGTTCACTGCATAATTTAACATGATTTAAAGGACAGATATTAATAGTATTGAAATAATATTAGTCGTATTTCTAAAGGACTCATTCTGCACTTAGTTATTTTAGCAGTGCAAATTATGTTAAAGAGACATTGTCGAAAAGATCACACGTGTTACATACATATGAAGGAAGAATGTGTGTTTGTATGTATGTTCTGCACACAGTGGTCTCTGGCGATGCAGCTGGCTGAGCTTCTCTTTCTCACAGCTCTGACCCTTATGTCCCCAACACACAAACACATAGTCAAAACACCCTCCCCTCTCTCACACATTTAATCTGTCTGAGTGAATATGGACTGAATCTAATACGTAAGAAGCTGCCGTTTAAAAGGCGTCTGTGGTCAACAGTCTGCCAGCATTGTTTTATTTCAGTGGTTCTCAGCTGGTAGGTCACCATTCTGTCCTAATTGGGTAGTAGATATCAGGGACAATACAATGCTAAATGTTAAACCAGAACATCTCAAACTCCTGAACCTGGAGTGTACATGGAACAGATCGAAAAATGTGTTACATCACACCATGTTAATATGTTAGCATAAGTTAATCTTTCACTCATGTTTGACACATATTTATCGCCACAAGCCATTCCTCCACCAACAATTAAAATGCATGGAATATAAATAAAATATTCACTAGAAATGGAATTTCCTTCAAGCTTAGGCCTGACATCACACTGGTGTTTCTCCTCACAGGGAGTGCCAAGGAGAGGCCCATGAACCATGTGACTGCCAAACTTGGAAGATGTGGCTCCAGAAAGTCACTGATATGAAACCAGAAGAATGTGAGCCTGTTTTGCTGTACTTTGTGACTACTAAGATAAATATCCTAAAGTAATGTTCCTACCTGTCCAAAAATGGTTTTGGACCTCAAGCAACTTTATTTTTGTCTTTTTCCATTTCAGTGGCAGGTGTAAGTGAAGCATATGAAGATGCTGCCAACTGCCTGTGGTTACTCAGCAACGCCAAACCCTGTGCCAACTGCAAATCTCCCATTCAGAAGAATGAGGGCTGTAACCACATGCAATGTGCCAAGGTTATTTGTGTTATAATAATAGATTTATGTATATACCAGGTTAAGAATGGGGTGGAGTCATGGAGTTTTTCAGAGGTGTAGAATGCAGGGTTGACAAGAGAGTTGGTGTGAACTTTGTAAGTGTACAAAGGGTCAAACATGATACCACGGAAGTTTGAAAGGGATTGACAAAAACTTTAAAATCAATACACAAATCTGAGTTTCGGCCCACTTACTTTTAAATCTCCTTTGTATGCGTTTAGTTTAAGAAAATTCCCAGTGCCACTGACCGAAATGAGTGGGAGGGTGTGTATCCAAACAGGTGGTAGAATAAATCTCAGCAAGGCAGTGATAACTGAGACCATGATTGTTGGTGATATGACAAATAAAAGTTTATACATTATGAAAATGAAGGGGCCAAGAACAGAACCCTGGGGGACTCCCTGAGTGGAAGAGTTTTGTTTCTCAAAAGAGATGAAATATTATCTTCCAGTAAAAGTAAACCAAGAGGGAATTGTACCAATATGGCTGTGAGCCTTGAAAAGGGTAAATCAAGACTGTCAAAACTGGAATTTTGGATGAAAACCTGATTGGAAGGGTCAATGAGGATTATTAGAAAGCATTGAATTTAAGCTTTGCTGCTTGTCACTTTTTATGTTAGGACAATCATAATTGAATGTTATTAAGGTTTCTAAAGTTCTGCCTCTGTAACAGTGGATTGATGTTAAATCATTTAAAAAAAATAATTGATGAGGAAACCTTGATAAATCTCTTTGATTAAAGAACAAGAAATGTTCAAGAAATGTGTGTGTGTGTGACTTAGGAAGAAATGCATTACTGTTAATTCAATCTTGATAATCCTGCAACACGGTTACTAAACAGGGAAAGACATTGCAAATACTAGCACTCCAAAAATAAAAAGTGAGAGATGGTTTCCTAGCAACACACTTAATCCTTGCTGTCAGAATCCCACAACTCCCAGTGTGCTGCCTGCTAGACTGCCATATGCATTTGCTAGTGACATAATAAAAGTAGACCAATGGTTTGTTTTAATGTAGGTGTTGTTAATCAAGAATCTATGTGCGTACAGTGCAAGTATGATTTCTGCTGGATCTGTCTGGAAGAGTGGAAAAAGCACAGTTCCTCTACAGGAGGTTACTACCGCTGCACACGCTATGAGGTCATTCAGCAAGTGGAGGAGCAGTCTAAAGAGATGACCGTTGAGGTACATATTCTTACATATATGCTCATGCTGTTTTGTCTGTAAGAGTTATTCTAGAGTTTTTAATAATGAAGAAAGAAAACGATCTGACAACTGAGTATGGCTGAGCCTGTACACTTACACACACTTTTTTTTATTTGTTTTGTATTTTGCAGGCTGAGAAGAAACACAAGAACTTCCAGGAATTGGATCGCTTCATGCACTATTACACACGGTTTAAGAATCATGAGCACAGCTACCAGGTAAACAAAAGTCTACAAAGATCTGCCTGATTTGACATAGTCTCAAATAGTCGTTGACTAAATGCCATGAAGTCTGGTTTGCAATGTAGCTTAGTCTGGCCAAAAACCACCTTTACTGGAAGAAATCTGGCTACAATTTAAACCAAATAACCACCCACTGTTTTTTTTTTTTTTAACCTGCCGTTTATGCATCATATGGTCAGTAAACAGACATTTGGCAGTATGTGGACTGACATTAGTTGTGACATGATGACTCAAATGGTCTTTATCTGTATTATCTTTTCCTACAGCTGGAAGACCGTCTGCTTAAAACGGCCAAAGACAAGATGGAACAGCTTAGCAAAGTTCTGAGTGGAAGTAAGATGCAAAACCTATAAAGCATATAATCAATGTTAATAAATTATTTCTAAGCTATGTTAATGCATGGTCTACCTTGTATCAGTTGGTAAAATTTACAGTGAAAGTACTCTATAGAGAATTAAACTTGCTTTTCCATTCACACAGTGATTCCTTCTACATTTAGCAGTAGATCAAGTTTAATACTTGGTGTTGTAGACTTTTTTTTATTAGATTTTAACTCCTATATTGTATTACTGTGTTGTTGCAGGAGAAGGCGGACCTCCAGATACTACTTTCATTGAAGATGCAGTGCATGAACTACTTAAGACTCGTCGTATTCTCAAGTGCTCTTACCCTTATGGGTTCTTTTTGGAGCCCAAAAGCACAAAAAAGGAAATATATGAACTTATGCAGGTTAGTAACACACATGGTAGTTATGGGAAATGCTTACCGTGGACGTTCTGAGTTAGCGACAACTTAATGCTCTTATTCCTCTTGTTAGACTGACTTGGAAATGGTGACGGAAGATCTTGCACAGAAAGTCAACCGGCCTTACCTCCGCACGCCTCGTCATAAGATAATCCGCGCTGCCTGCCTGGTGCAGCAAAAGAGGCAGGAGTTTTTGGCCTCCGTGGCAAGAGGTGTGGCACCAAATGATTCGCCCGAAGCCCCTCGACGCAGGTAAGAGCCTCTTCCTGAATTACAGACTGCTTAAAAATAAACAAAAAAGCAAAATAGAAACCTTGAAAATTATATTTTAAAAATTGATATTTTAAAATAAACAATTATGAAGATGTGTGTTTTAATGGTCATACTAATATTTTTTTGAAAATGTAAACTTTTGTTGAAAACCGTATAAAAAAACATATGAAACCTGTTTTAAACTATATTTTTTAAAAGACATAGAAAACACATTTCTATGAAGTAAAAGGGATATTTCACCCAAAAATGAAAATTCTGTCAATTACTTACCCTCATGTCGTTCCAAACCCGCAAGACCTTCGTTCATCTTCGGAACACAAATTAAGATATTTTTGAAATCTGAGAGCTTTTTGATCCTCTATAGACAGCAATGCAACTGAGACGTTCAAGGCCCAGAAAGGTAGGATGCATCGTCCTATCTTTGATGTCACACCACTGACGTCACATGGACATCGTTAAAATAGTTCATGTCACATCAGTGGGTCAACCGTAATGTTATGAAGCTACGAGAATACTTTTTGTGCGCGAAGAAAAGAAAAATAATGAATTTATTTAACAATGTTTTCTCTTCTGTGTCAGTCTTCTATGTGCGTTCACAAGAGTACAACAACGCATGCGTATGCATTCCTCTGACTGAAAACAAGGCGCAGCACATCCAGGTTCTATGTCAGAATGCCGGCTTCAGTGTTAGCTGCATCATACAGATGCGTTGTGGTACTCTCGTGAATGAAGACTGACACGTAAGAGTAGAAATTGTTGAATAAAGTCGTTATTTTTGTTCTCTTTGCGCACAAAAAGTTATTCTTGTAGCTTTATAACATTACGGTTGAACCACTGATGTCACATGGACTATTTTAATGATGTCCTTACTACCTTTCTGGGCCTTGAATGTTTCAGTTGCATTGTCAGAAAGCTCTTGGATTTGATCAAAAATATCATAATTTGTGTTCCGAAGATGAACGAAGATCTTATGGGTGTGGAACAACGTGAGGGTGAGTAATTGACAGAATTTTAAGGTAAATTTGGTCAATAGGGTTTTGATTTACTACTGTATTTTAACAGTAGTACTGTATTTCTTAAAAGTGACTTTTCATTTGTAACACAACTGCACCTGCAGTCTAACAGTGTATAGGATCACATGGAACCTACTTTTTTGTTTGCGTTTGCAGTTTTGCTGGTGGAACATGGGACTGGGAGTACTTGGGTTTCGCTTCTCCTGAGGTAACTCTTTTGTTTGGTTCGTTTTGAGACTTTGGGAATAGCTTGTGTCTTTGTTAAATCTACTTAGCTGGTGCCTGAAGTTTTGGCAATGCATATCGGCCTGTAGAACAAGATGTAGTCCTGTTGCAGCAGTTGTGAATGTGTAAAGACCTGTAATGTTAAACAGTGTACCGCTATTTTGTTCTAATCTAAAGATCCAGAGGAATCATGCCTTTCTCGGGGGAATTGAACCGAGAGAGCACTGTCAGTATACAGGAAGCCATCCGCAGGTATTAAAGAATCCTCATTAGATCCCATCTCAGGAACGGCTAAACAAACAGTGGAATGGCGCCTATCATGTACACTCCATCACTAATGTCATTGTCCACATTTTTTTGGTCGCATGTTTTATTTTTTCTGTTCATACTCTATTGCAGCTGTTCATATATTCCAAACTATTGCTGTGCATTCCAGATTACGAATTCTGATGCCATTCATCTGGAAAGCGAGATCTTTTTCTTTTCTGTTAATGTATCCCGACATGGTCTTCTAAAAGATGCCTTTGGTGTTGTAACTTCCAAAGTTTCCTGCTTTGACTGTTCCATGAAAGGTCATGAAATATGCGTTTTTGCAGACGTTCCAAGGTGAACTAGTCTACCACTTCAGTTTGTATTGCTAGTCGCTGCTCTTCTTTTGAAATTATGTATGCAGGGTATGGCACAGTTTCATTTTGCTCTGGATTTATGGCTTGTTGAAAGAGGAATAATAGTGATGCACTTTATTCAACTTTTTTATTATTGATGCTTGAGCAGTACCTCTCAGGAATGTTTTCTTTGAGTTTGCTGCCGTTATTGCATGCTTACTGCATGCAGCTTCAGTTTGGTTAAATTTAAGACTTCTTTTTTTATTTTGGGGAGTTTGTCGACCTATGGTGAAAATAAAGTTGGAAGAAGTGCAGTATAGAATATGATTGGTAATTAAATCTTAAATAGATTATACTGACACATATACACCGAAATGCCATTTCTTGTTGGTTTTGTAGTAAATGGCATTACAGAGTGTCAGACTGTTTGGATATGTACGTGATTCGCGGAGCTTAAAGGATTAATTCTCCAAAAATGGAAAATTCTGGCTTCTTTTACTTATTTTCATGGAATATAAAATGAGAACCTTTTAAAGGGGACATCGGATGCAAAATTCACTTTTACATGGTGTTTGCATATAAATGCGTCTTAGCAGTGTGTGGACCAGAGCATGTGAGCGGAGCGGAGTGGTAATATTTCCTTCAGAGCGCCTTTCTGAAGATTCCGCTCTGCTCGCTCAATACGCTCAGTGCCGCTAGCTGCCACGAATTCATTCGTTCGTTAATTCGTTCGTTCCCTATAGGCCTAAATCGTGGAACGAATTATTATATTTCGTAATTACTTGTTAAAATCATTATTGCTTAAACTTAATAAATAATAATAAATAAAAATAATAATAAAACCTGCTGACGTCGTAGAAACGAATTGTTAATTCGAATTATATTCGGAGCTCCGTAGTTATTAAATAATCTCAGTTAAACTGTAGACCTAAGCTAACACACAGCTGTATATAGGCCTAAATACAGAACTACAGAGTACAGAAGATATTAGCCTACACCACTTAGGCCTATTAAAATATTATAAAAAAAAAAAAAACTGACCTGAAACTATAGGTAGTCCTTCAGAATGTAGGCTAGATATAGGCAGCAGTAATTTATCATCTAATATAATGCACGCAAATTTGTTCTTTACAGAACGGAGCGGGATCTGAGCGGGAAGTGGTTTACGGTGAGCATGAGTGGAATATTAACGGAGCGCTTGCTTGGGCTGTTAGAACGACACCGCTCCGCTTCGCTCACATGCTCTGGTGTGGACACAACCCCCCTACAATGATAAAAATCCATTCATCACGATTTTTTGAGCAGTATGACGCTTACGGACTCCCCTGTATTAGCATATTTTCATCTTCAGCCAGTTGTACTGTTTTGGCTTGCTATAATCAGAGCTGTTTTTGACAAGGTTTTTTTTACATGACCGTTGAGGACTTTTTTAACCAAAGTATTTTGCAGACATTTCATTTCATGAAGATCCTAAAGAATCATACCAGCTTGTGGAAAATGGACATCAGATGTCCCCTTTAATAATACTGGTTACTATTTTTGATGCAGTTACACTACCAGTCAAATGTTTTTGAACACTAAGATTTTTTTATGTTTTTTAAAGAATTCTCTTCTACTCACCAAGCATGCATTTATTTGATCCAAAATACAGCAAAAGCAGTGATATTGTTTAATAATATCAGGTATATTTAAAATAACTGCTTTCTATTTGAATACATTTTAAAATGCAATGTATTGCTGTGATCAAAGCTAAATTTTCAGCATCATTACTCCAGGCTTCAGTGTCACATGATCCTTCAGAAATCATTCTAATATGCTGATTTTCTGTTCAAGAATTGAATTTTTTTTATTATTATCAATATTTAAAACAGTTGAGTACATTTTTTTCAGGATTCTTTGATGAATAGAAAGATCTAAAGATCAGCATTTATCCGTATATTGGGGGGTGGGTTATAGAAATTAATACTTTTATTTAGCAAGGATGCTTTAAATTGATCAAAAGTGATGATAAAGACATCTATAATGTTACAAAAGATTTCAATGTCAGATAAATGCTGTTCTTCTGAATTTTCTATTTATCAAAGAAACCTGAAAAAATTATACTCAGGTTTTTTCAATAATAATAATAATAATAATAATAATAATAATGAATGTTTTTTGAGCAGCAAATCAGAATATTAGAATGAATTCTTTAGGATCATGTGACTGGAGTAATGATGCTAAAAATTCAGCTCTTTGAAATCACAGGAATAAAATACATTTTAAAATATATTCAAATAGAAAATAGATTTTAAATAGTAAAGATATTTAAAAAATTTACTGTTTTTGCTGTACTTTGGATCAAATAAATGCATGCTTGGTGAGCAGAAGAGACTATGTCCATATTATTATATTATATTATTATCTACATCTTCTGAAGCCATATTATAGGTTTGTGAGATTTTTACATTATTAAAAATGATCCTTAAGGGTTTTGAATGACAAGGTGAGTAATAATGCCATAATTTTCTTTTTGACTTTACTCAAAGGCAAAGCATCTGTCTGTTTTTCTGACATGACGATGCCAACAGCCCTGAACTTTGATGCTGCTGCACAGCAGATTTCCTGTAGAAAGGTGTAGGCTTCCTCAGAGATTCTGACTCTTATTCACAGGGTCCAGTGGGAATGTTGGTACTCCTCTTGAAGCAGCATTGAAATGGTGTTGTGTGCGGTTTTGTGTTGTAGGCGTATGCTGAGTTCCAGTACAGACGCAGACACAGGCAGCGCAGGAGAGGAGACATGGCCAGCCTCCGCAGCAACACCCCCGACCCTGATGACCCAGGCCACAGCACTTTAGGTATGTTTTGTGAATGTGTTTTCATTTTGGTGCCCATATTTGCTGGTATATAGACATATAAGAATCGCGGTGCTCTATAGTTGAAGCAGCTGCAAGTAAAGTTTCAGGATTTGTTTTTTGCTGGAGTCACACTGGACACTGGAGTCAGCAGAAATTGTACCATAAACCCATTTATCACCACTTTCTTTTGCAGTATGGACTTTTTTTAAGGAATATAAATGAATGGGGTGAATTTCTTGCTCATTGTTTGAGAAAATATGTCTGTCAGGCCTGATGTTCTGCATATGATGACATGGCAAACTAACAACACTTTGTAAGTCTGTAAATCTGATGGAATCCAAATCCAAAACACTTCTTTTTGTCTTTGAAATAAGGCTGAAGTGTACTGCCAAATGTACTGACAAGCATTTATGAAAACTAATATATACTTTAATGTAATTTCTATTCAAACGTGTGATATAAGTATACGTTTAAGTAGAATTGTAGTCACACATTTTGTACTAATGAAGTTGCCATTTAGTAGATTTAAAATATATTAACTTTAAATGTAATATATAACACTGTGTTTAAAATTATACAATGATTTCAAATATAAAACATTTCATTTGACATTATTACAAAGTGCAAGTGTGTTAAGAAACAGTCATGAACGAGCAAGTACATTTAAATAGTTTTTTAATTGTTTAATTAATATTAAGATAAGTTTTGAAGTGTACTATAAGTGTGCATTCAATACAGGTAAATGCACATCTTTTTCATAAAAGATAGTTCAGATTAAGTACATTTACTTGTTTTATTTAGTGCTGTCAAACGATCAATCGCATCCAAAATATAAGTTTTTGTTTAAATAATATATGTGTGTGTGTACTGTGTATTTATTATAAATGCACACACATACAGTATATATTTTGAGAATATTTACATGTGTTTACGTTTATATATTTATATTCATATATATTTTATATATATATATATATATATATATATATATATATAAACATAACATTTTTCTTAAATATATACGTGCATGTGTATGTATGTATATATACATAATAAATATACATAGTACACACATATATTATGTAAACAAAAACTTTTATTTTGGATGCGATTAATCGTTTGACAGCACTAGTTTGATTTCATTCTTCTTAAAATGACATGTAAACACTTTAGTTTGACTGAAATCTTATGTCTGATTTTTGTGAAGTATTGCATCAAATATTTTCCATGTATATTTGGATAGACAGATGCCGACTGGAGCTCTTTACAGTAAGGTCTAATTTATCAATATTAGTTAATGCATTAACTAACATGAACTAGCAATGAGCAATATATTTCTACAGTATTTATTAATCTTTGTTAAATGTTACTTAGTGAAAATGTTCATATTCATGTTAGTTCCCATGCATTAATGTTTGATTTTAAAATGTATTAATAGATGTTGAGATTAGCGTAAAATTAATAGATGCTGTTCATTGTTAGTTAAAATTAACTGATGTATTAAATGTTAACAGATGAAACCTTATTGTAAAGTGTTACCGAGCTCGACTACACAAAAACCCATATAAAGATACTCAAGGTCACACTGCCGATGTATAATTTATGGCTGAAGGAAATACTCAGTGGGGTAACTGAGAAATCATGGCTTGCAGTGGGTTGCAAATTTATCGCAAATTTTTCGCACCATCACTATTGATATCGATGCTTTTGTAGTGAGTAGATATTCCTTGCTATAAAAAAAGCAACACTGCTCTAGTAATCCAACTAAACAAAAGATTTTCTATTTCTCTTCTCTTACAGACGCACAAGAAATTGGTGGTGGTCAGAGACTGGGTTTGCTCATGGTGAGTTGAGACCCTTTTAACGGAGGTTCTATGGTGGAACGTCACAAATCCTCCGCTGGGAGTAACTGAGTCTGATCTTATTCCCTTCAGCCTCACGGTTCTCTAGATGAGGATGATCCCAATATCCTGTTGGCCATCCAGCTTTCTCTGCAGGAGTCTGGGCTGACTGCAGGCGGTGCTGGCGTTGATGCTCAAGAGATCCTCGCAAACGAAGCATCTCTGGGGGCCATTGGAACATCCCTGCCCACACGTCTGGACCCGGTGCTGTGCGGGATAGACGTGCCCCGTGCTGCCCTGAGCAGCTCCGAGCTGTTAGAGGTGGGTGACAGCCTAAAGAAGCTCGGTAATATCAGTGGCCAGAATGTCCCTCCGCGTTATGACAATCTCAACAATCCTTCCTGTGAGTCCGCTGAGGGCCCCTTCCAAGCACCTTCGGGACATACGGAAACCTCTGATTTCAGTTCAGACAACGCCAACCTTCTAGGCAACATCATGGCTTGGTTTCATGACATGAATCCGCAGAATATCAGTTTGGTTCCTTCGGCTGGTGATTTCGGCATTCAGTCGGCAAGAATGACAACAGAGCCGACCGAGTGTGCCGTTCCACAGTGGACACCGGGGGGCGATAGAGAGGCAGAGCATGAGTTCGACTCCGCTATTGAGCATGAGCCCATCAGGCCGACACAGTTAGACCTGGTAGGTCTCGATATGTGTCCGGTGCCTCCTGCTTCGTCCATCGAGTTGGGCGAAACGCCGAGTGGTTTGAACCCGTGTCACTCCGATGCCCCAAAATGTGACTCAGACCCCAACCAGCCTAGCAGTAGCTCCTCTGAATGGGAGGGTCAAGAACATCATGTATGAAATACTGACATTACTTACTAGCTAAGGCACTTTTTTGATGAAGTAGCTGAACCCGAGGAACAAGATTAATCATGACAAGAAGCTTTGTATTGTCAGATATGTAGTTTGAGTACTCGCTCAGGCCTTTGTGCTTATGAGGCATGTGTTGTTTGCTCACTAAAAAACTCGTTCCGATCCTGGAGTGTTAAACACTTTTAAAAGAGTCAGCAAATGAACCAGAAAGCGCTATGAAGGCGCGAATCTACTGTATAGTACAGGATGGTATTCAGTGTGAGTTCGCCTGATTAAAAAGGTTGTAAAAGATACTGTAGGTGCCAAAAAACACTGGCTAGCACATGCCGAGTGGACAGTGTGCTGATCGTGCCTGCTGCTGAGGGCCTAGCCGCCCTATCGAGTACGCTATCCTTCCTTTAAACTAGACCTGTAGTATTAGAGAAGTGCACAACAGCATCACGCTCAGAAGAGCTGGGCTGATAATCACAGAAACTAAAAGAAGAGTAATTCTAGTTGCAGTCGACTTTTCTTTTTCTGGTCAAACGTAATCACTGTAATCCATCACCGGCTAATTAGAATGGAAAGTACCGGCGAGTTTAAACTCAGTTCAGAAGCGCCGCGCCGGATCTAGAAAACGCTTTGTCTTTGCAACTTCTCACAGTGCCTTTTCTGTGAAACTTCTCTTTATTTATAGCCGCTCTCTTGCACTCGAAGCCCAGAGTGGGGGAAGTTCCAATACATATCATACTTGTATTTTCAGGTGGTGGTTAGGCAAACTGAGCTCAATGTTTTTTAAAAGACATTTTTATACATGTTGGGTTGTCCTTTAGCATGCTTCTGGCCCCTTCTCCCGGGTTGTTTTTAAAGCAGTTATTTAAATGAACTTGGACACATTTACGGATTAAATTGATCTATATTTAATGAGATACTATTCATTGTGTGTTAAGATGTGATTTCCACATGGCCACATGTAAAAATTAAATGCTCAAATGTAAAAATCCGTAGATGTTTTCCTGGTGCATCTCTAATAGAAAATTATGATTTTTTTTTTGAATTTTGAATTTTGAAACCACATTTTCCCCTCAGAGTATCTAAGATCTCTAGATCTTTCGGTAGAGGAAAAGGCATTTCATTGTGATGGCCAGAAGCTGTTTTAGCTTCAGATTTACATTTCTACATATGGTGGAACTCACCCACAATTAAGTTTTTTTTTTTTACAATTAATTTAACTGTGGTATTTCTCTACAGTAAATTATGTAAATTTATTTTCTATTTATTTAAAATTGAATGTCCTTAAAATGAATGAAGATCAAGGTAAAGTTGGTGATGACAAAAAAAATTAATGAACGGCAATATATATTTTTATGTCTATATCAATCTGTAATAACACAGTACCAGTTTTTTTGCTTAAAACGTGTCTGCTGAAATAATTGTTCAAAGCCTTTTAACCGAATGAACAATGTTTTTGATTTGCTTCAATTTAATTGTGAACACCTGCCCAACTTTTCATCTGATGAAACCGCTAAATCACAGCAGCACTAAGTTTTAAGCATTTCAGAAAATTTGCACAAAATTAGCTCACATTTCAGCTATGGAATAACACGTTTTAGCTCAAAGGTTTGCTGTTATATTGGCGATTTTGAGTGAGCAGGCGCCTGATGTTTTACTGTGGGCTTGATGTCATTTGTGTGTTGATTCTGACCTAATGTCCGAATGCAGTATTGCACTGCATAAACTGAAAATGAAGGCAAACCTGTCCGTTAAGTGGTATTTTGGTATCATTCCATTCGTCAAAGTTTGGGGGAGTGCACACATGAATATTTTTCTGTTTGTATGTGTGATCGGAATGGGTTAAGCTCACTAAAACGCAGTATTTCTTCAAACTAATGTATGCCGCCAAAGGTGGAGGTGGAGCTAATGTCTGTTTAAATTAAGCATATGGTAGATCTGTCCAAACATGACAAAAAAAAATGACAGTGAGTGACAGAAGTTGTCCTGTATGTAACAGTATGCTGTGCATTAGGTAATCATAATAAAAATAGATCATATTTTCTTGAAAAAAGACCGTTAAAGTGTCAAGGCTATATTGTTTGGGGGATTGGGTGGCTATTGTTTGTTGGGGGGGAGAAAAGCACATTTTGTAACCATTACAGATTTTATATTGTTAAGCACCTAATCCTTGAAATGGTATTTGCACTTTCATAATCTTTACTTGATACATTCCCAATTTATATGGAAAATACAAATGTGTGATGTTTGGCCAATGAATTGGACCGATTTGAGTGTGAATCTTAATAAAGTTGCTAAGACAAGTTCAGTTGTAAAAGTGGTAGTATTCTTTGAACATAACATACAGTGAAAGCCCAGGTGCAATAATAATAATAATGACGTGTTGAATAAAAACTAGGCCTTTTTAAAGGGATAGTTCACCCAAAAATGAAAATGTGATGTTTATCTGTTTACCCCCAGGGCATCCAAGATGTAGGTGACTTTGTTTCTTCAGTAGAACACAAACGAAGATTTTTAACTCAAACCGTTGCAGTCTGTCAGTCTTATAATGGAGGTGAATGGGAATCACGACTTTGAGAGTCAAAAAAACATACACAAACAAAACCAAATCAAACCCTGCGGCTCGTGACGATACATTGATGTGTAAAGACACGAAAAGATCGGTCTGTGCAAGAAACTGAACAGTATTTATATAGTTTTTTAGCTCTGATGCACTGCAATGTCAGAACTATCCTGAGCGGTTGACTCTCAAAGCCGTGATTCCCATTCACTTCCATTATAAGACTGACAGACTGCAACGGTTTGAGTTAAAAATCTTCGTTTGTGTTCTACTGAAGAAACAAAGTCACCTACATCTTGGATGCCCTGGGGGTAAGCAGATAAACATCACATTTTCATTTTTGGGTGAACTATCCCTTTAAAGGCAAGGTGAGGCTACAAATATGATTTTCTTATTCTTCTAATTGAGATCAAGTTCAAGTGGAAATGTATTACAGTGTCATCTTGTCTTGAGCATTAGCCCCTCTAGTGGGTGCAAATAGAATGACACTTTCAGGCCAAAAATGTTCAATCCCTGCTTTCTTTGACTGTAAATTCTCATAAAGTGAACCTAGTAAAACAGCAGTTTTATGTAAAAAAAATTATATTGTTAATATAATATTTGGGGTCAGTTTATGTATTACTTTTATATCAGGCATATACAGAATGATTGTGGCCAGAAGAAAATGCATACATTGTTTCTATTTATTGACTTGGTTAGATGCCTAGGGGTCAAAAGTTAGGGGAATACCAGGAGGTCACAAGCACAGTGACTTTGCTGAATAAAATGTCAGATGAGAGGAAATTTCTATATTTGCAAACTGCTGTTTGTGAGGAAGGCTGTGTCATCTTGTGATATGAATGTCCGATTTAGGATCAAGAGGAATTTACTTTCCATTACTCACTGGCAATATTACAGTATTTGGATCTGTAAGCTACATTTAAACATGCATTGAAAGATATGATATATTATGCAGTAATAAACCAAGCATTGTTTTTTTTTAAATAAGAAAGAAAGAAAAGCATGCACACTTTAAGCGAAGCTTGAAAGATTTTAAATTATAAAACAATATTTGTGATGTGTTGAACTATTGCTAGAAAATTTGAAGAGAAATGAATTCAGACGTCCACTAAAATAATCAACATTTAAAACCTGACAACACTTAAAAGACTGACAACAGTTAGAACTAATCAAATGGCTCAGAAAAGTGTGTTATATGTAATGCAATGCTAAAATGTGTTATATGTAATGCAATTATATTCTGACATCGTTATAAGTGTTACTTAGGTGTCCAAAAACTTACGACTTTTTATTGTTGTTT